CCAGGGCTTTCACTCCCTGGCGTCAGTGTGCTGGGGGACAGGGAGGGGGGCTGCTTTATCCCAGGCCGTGGTCCAAAGTTGGCGAAGTGGGACTTGGTGAAACCAGAAGTGCCGTGGACTTTCAGTTTTGTTTTTGTCACGTTGATCAGCATGCCAGTTAATAGAGCATACCGGTTAATAAAGTGCCAGATAACTCAGCTTTTACTGTATTTTCTTCCAGCAATTCATGTTACTGAAATTCAACTATTTCTGCTTAACTAGACCTCGGAACTGACCTTATCGCATGCACACAATGCATTCATATTATATTCTGATTAATTATAAGGATATAGGATCTATTATCTATCTAGTAATGTCATTATTTCATTCCTTTTTCTGTACCAGGAAGCTGCAAACATTTACCTTATTTCAATGGTAGTCAGGTTATTCTATTTTTAAACATGATCAGCTGTCTGAATATATTACTATCAATCATTTTTTTTCTTTTTACCTTATTTCCACTTTGCTGTCAAACAGCTGCATTCTGTAATTAAACATTCTTGGTGTTTTCTATTGAAGTTATCAACACAGGTCATACCCTTTATTATTCCTATGACATTCTGCAGCCTTTAAACACATGGTCTCTAATCTTGAGGTAACTGTTTCTTTCCATGCATCTGTCTTCTCTTTGTTGACACCAACACCACTAATTGATTAGCTGTATTATGCACCCCCACAATCCACTGACATTCTATCCAGGTCCTCACAACGTGTGACAGAAGGCCACCTCTGTTTCTCTCCAAAAACTCTGCTCTGTGACAATTTGGTTAAGATGGGCCCTGCAGAGGGTACACACCTTATCCTATCTCTTTAGGTAACCTGAGCTGGATACATTCCTGAGGGAGGGGGGAAACCTGCTCCCTCTACCTACGTGACTGGCATCACATGCCTGGGTGAGGGGCTTGGACTCCCTGGGGAGCTAGGAACTGCCAGTCTGCCCAGCAACTAGTGATGCATTTCAAATTGGTTGGCTGACAGCCAACAGGTGCTGGCCTCCACTGGACCAGGTAAATGAGGTCACAAGGGCTATATAAGTTAAGGACTGCCCAGGAGGAGGAGGCAGCAGCCATGAGGAAGACTCAGAGAGACAGAAGAGCTGGACCATCTGAAACTTGCTCTCTCTCTCTCTCTCTCTCAAAACTCATGATCAAGGAACTGTCTGCCTCCAGAGGGAATCTCCACCTCCCTCTGGATGATACTTGTGAGTAAGCTACCTGAGATCTAACTAGATATATAGCTTGCAGTAACTCAGATGCATGATCAAAGGCTACCCAGCCATGCCAGTTTGCTTTATGGGATTTCTCTGATATTGCTCTACCCTGTACCCTATTGCAACCCTACCCCTTGTAACCAATAAAGTTCTCCTTTGTACCTTACGTGGGAGACTCATTGGGTGTGGGTCTAGATTATGCCTTGGGGTCCCCATGGTACGGCTGACTAAGGGAGACCACTACTTGTGCTTCCGACTGAGAGAAGCACCCCGAAGTGCTTGAAGTGAGTCAAGTACCCTCAAGGGCTACTAGGCCTGTGTTTCCTAGGGTGCACAGAGCTGGAATAAAGCCCAGCCCTGGGTGATGGCCGTTTTTACCCCAGGCTAGTGGGTGTGCTCCAGGAAGGGGGTTGGCCAGACATGAGGTGCCCCCAGGGAGGCACTCAGAGCCTGGAAGGTGGTCGGGCACAGTGAAGTGGGTGGCTCAACGCAGAAGCACCCCCTATTGGCCTGCCACACAACATACCTAATTATTCATACCAGTATATGCGTGCACTGTTCTTGAAATTATACTTGAGGGTGCCTTTTGCTAGCACTGGGCCAAGTATTGCTTCCACTGAAATCAACAAGAGTTTGTACAGAGGATTATTTTGGAGTAGATTTGGGAAGTTTTGGAACCTCTCGCTTTCTAAACATCAATGCTATTATTTCCAGAATTAACAAAAAAGAGAGAGAACGGTGCTTGTAAATGGAAAATATGTTAAAGGGTGTTCACAGAGAAGGGCAGTGGGGCAAAATTCTATGCCAAATAACCCAGTGATGCAAATTAATCAATGCGCATAAGACAAAACAAATGTCAAAAGCAAAATATTCCAGAGTGGATAAGAGTGTAATATCTTGTGCATTATATAGCATAGATGCTACAGTTAGGCCCTAATTAAAACTGCCCAGGACTTTCCAGTATAAGATCATGTGTTCATCTGCACATGATTTTGCCAAACTTTCACTGTTTGGACTGACCTTTTTTTCCACTCCCATGTATCTACCTGTGGCAGGGCACTGTTGGTGCATGCCACAGGGCTCAGATCCCTGAGAGTGTGGGAGGGGTTGGAGCCCCAAAAGTGTGGGCATGGGACCTGGTGTATGTTCCTTTGTGTGTACTGAGTAAACCCAGTGTCAGGGTGCTGGGACCAGGAGCTCTGGTGGGGAGTGAGAGTCCCGGTAAGGCTCTGGAGCAAGGGTTCCAGTGCTAGCTAGCTGGAGGGAACACCTGCAAGGCTTGGGCTGCAGCGTAGGGGAAGAATGGAGCTGCAGATAGTGCCCTCTGGCATCAGGGTAGGAAAATGGGCAACCTCCTGCCTAATTAATACCATATAATTATGTATCAACAAGACATGACAGGTGAGAGAGGTGGGCAGTTAGCCCAGAAACAGGTGGGCGGGCCAATGTCTGACTGGTCCTGGGAAGGCCCACTTGTTACACTACCTAATGCTTTTTTTCCTCCTATTTCAGTAAAAATAGTTCAGCACTTTATCTGAACTAGGTTGGGGGTGGGGAAAACATACATTGTTAAAAATGTTCTTACAGCTGTTTTGGTACAAACAAGGATGTGCTTTTACCTAATCCCCATTAAAGACAGATTCACATTTGGTCAAGGACTGAGTTTCTGAAAATCCTTTGCTCACAATCAGTTGAGACTTGTTAGAATTTGGCCACAAAATTATTCAAAGGCACTGTCTGAGTGGGTTGCAATGTAAGACTGCAGGAAACTCTTGTGCTTACAGTGTCACACTTGCTGGCACCAAAGGAGTGATGGGGAGTTCAGATGTACAGGTTATGGAGCTGGTGCAGGGGAGGGATGGTGAGAGGGGACACTGACTGGCTTAGTGAGACTGGGAGATGAATGAAGTTGGGATGAAGGTAGAATAGATGCATGGTTAGAGCAGAAAGGTCTGTTGGTACAAGAATCCCCTCAAAACCCGAAATCCATCTCTCACCATTCCTTTGGTGTCATTTGTGAAGCCTACTTGCATCATCTGTCTTGTCCTTCTCTTGCTCTAGTCTGTCTAGAACAGTGTTTCTTAACCTGTGGGTCGCAACCCAAATGTGTGTTGCAAGAATAAATGAAAGGGTCGTGAACCAACTTTAAAAATGGATTCTCTTTTAAAGGAGAAAAATATGGGAAACTGAGGGTTTCCCCTGCAGGCTGGCAGACTTCCAGCTTGAAAGGGGCTGCTTGGGGGGGCCCCCCACCTTGCTTCACACTGGCAGGCTGGGGCCTGGGGGCAACGGGTTGGGAGTGAGGGGCACTGGCAGGGCCAGGGGGGATGTTTTCTACTTAAACTATTTACTGAGTCCAGATTGGCTGACATCCGTGTTTACAAATGGGTCCTGGTACAAAAAAAGCTTGAGAACCACTGATCTAGAAGATGCCCACCTATTATTGCTGTCAGTTACTCTGACGGTTTATATGGCAAAGGTCAGTGCTGTGGATCTGAAGGTTTCAGTCCTGCTGCTGAGCTGGGTGAGTGATGTTACAGTTCCACATAATGGAATGCTTAACTGGTTATGTTAACTCCCACCCCCAAGAATTACAGTATATTAAAAGAGAGGCAAAAATTATTGTGGATGATAGCTTTTATAGGACCAACTGTACAGTTGATAGAGACCTAGGCAAGCTTTTGGGTACCATTACAGGTTGGTCCTATAAAAGATACCATCCACAAGAATTCTTGCCTTTAGTGTTTTCTGTAATTAAACATTGTTTATGTTATCGATACAGGTTGTATCCATTACTTATTCCTATAATGTTCTGCAGCCTTTGCGCACATGATCTGCAATCCTGAGAACTATTCTTCTTTCCTGAAGAAGCCTGGACCATCATGGCACAAACATCACTTAAACACTGGCAGTCAATTTCTGAGGCTGCTTGAATCAAGCTTTGAAAAGTTAAGAAATGCCAGAACCTGCAGTTAAGAAATGCCAGAATCTGCGTGTGTTGGAGTGTGCATGAACGCATGGATCTCCAGTGCTCAGGGGTGGGTCAGGGTGCCTGGGAGGGGTGGGGAATGCAGGCAGCAGACTTGTCACAATTTCAAACAGGCATTCTTAGACTGTCTTAGAGGAGTTTCCATTTTTTCCTTTGAAACTCCTCCCTTAGAAATACCCTTTGCCATGATGCCTGTGAAAACACAGCTATCATTAAATAGCCAGTTGTCCCTTACTTGTGCTGTGCTCCCTAGTGCTGCTTCATCCCTTCCTTGGGTTTGTTTTCCTGTTTCTGAGCACCTGTTGTTTCTTATTTTTAGACTAAGGCAGGCCCTCTTGTGCTTCATGCTCCCTCGTGGGGTCTCAGGTGGCCTGGGGGGTTCATTTGGGCTGCTGCAGTGAGGGGAATGAGGCTGTTGTGGCAGCTAAACGACTCTTGGCACGTCTACGTGAGGCACTTACTCTGCAGTAGCCTAATAACACTGTGCAGCAGCGTGCCGGTCAACAACTGCTAATACGCTATTGCACAGTCTTATTAGGCTACTGCGCAGTAAACATCCCCCAAAATAATTGCACGGAACTACTTACTGTGCAGTAACTAAGGTTCATTAATGAAGGTGGGGACGCGCCCCTGGTAAGCTCCGTGGCCATGCCCGGGGCTCTGTGCACTCCGCAGGCAGAACGTGCCCCAAAGGGGGCTGGGAGACTGGCGCACTGGGCACCTGTCTAGTGACGTAACTAGAACACGGGGGCGGGGCTTCTCCCGCCGCCGGCCTTCAGCTCTTACCGGAAGTCCCCCGCGCTGCCGGGATCGCGGCGTTTGCGATCCGGAAGCACTGGCAGCAGAGTATGGGGCGGGGCGCGTGAGGCGGAGCCGGGGCTGCCAGCGGGCAGGTGAGCGCGGCGGGCGGGCTCCGCTGTCACCCGGCCCCGTCCTGCTTTGCCCAGCATGCTCTGTCCGTGGGGGTCTGAGCCGTCTCCAAGACCCCGCCCGGGGCCCCCGGGGGTGGCGGTGGGGGAGGCGGGCCGGGGCCAGCAGCAGCCCGGGGCTGGATAGGATCGACTGCCCCCGCGGCGCGCCCCCCGAGCCAGGTCATCCCGCACCCTCCGCTCCCCGGGCTGCAACAGCTCGCCCGGACTCCCTCACTGTCCCTTCAGCCCAAATAATTGCCCACCCTTGGTGAAAAGGTTCCGGCCCTCGCTGTACTAAATGTGCTGTGTGCACACATGAAAGCCTGGGCTGTAGACTCCTACATGTGCTTAAGTTAAAAATGAGCAAGTTGACCCTTTGAGGGCAAGGCCCATGATGATAGTGAGGTGAAGATCCATGACAATAGTACCATATTTACTTAATTTTAAGACAAGGTTTATTTCCCCATTTAACAAAGGGAGAAAAGCTCTTCATCTTTCAATCAAGTCTGAGAACCTACCTCGGTTGGATCATAGCTGCAGCTGCCTCTGCACCTTGCCATCTCTCTTCTGCAGCCTCTTTCTCCTGCCTGCCCCCTCCTTGCAGCCTCTGTTCCCCCACCTGCCTCTCTCCTTCCCTCCCTTTGCTTTGTATTGGCAATCTCCTGATTAGGGCCCCAGTATGGCCCCATGGCAGCAACAGGCAGCCCCCAGCTACAGGGGCTGGGCTGGGGCTGTGGTCCCTGTGTCAGGCTGGACTAACCATTGGTAGAACTGTGGTAGTGACCTGTCAGTGCAGAGTGAGCTTATGAGGCAGAGAGGGGAGCAGAGTCTGGGAAGGAGGGGGAAATCAAGGCTGGGGGAGGGGCCAAGCTGCTTGACCACCCCATACCACCTGCCTCCCTATTGCCTGCCCTCCTGTGGCAGTGGGGTGGGGGGATGAATTAAAGATGGCCCTCCAGTAATTAGATTCTGGACATGGACAGTTGTAACACATTTATACATTTTCCATGTATAGAATCTAATTATTAGGGGGGGGTGTTAAATTCAGAATTGTATTAGATTCAAGTAAATATGGTAAACTGCTGCACTAAAGAATTGCCAGTCTAAATAAACAACAGGCTAACTTGGAGATGGGAGAGAGACCTAGGGCTGTCTGTGAGGAGTTACACCTCAGAAACATTGCAAGTTGCTTTTGGTTACATAAGAAATCTGTAGCAGACTGGAACTGAAGACTTGTTTTGAACTAGAAGTCAGTGTCTTACTCATGAGGACCTTCCCTCCCACTTTCTCTTTTTTGCAACCTGCCTTTTAATAACTCAGGGTTTTGTATATCAGTAAAGCAGGAAGATGTAATTTAGGGTCTATTGGGAAATGTAATATATTTTAATTTCAAACATCTGGAAATTAGAGTATAATCATTCTATTAAGTTATCCTTTTTTGGCATGAGTGTTTTTTACATCAAAATTGATATAGCACAGGCACAGCAGTAGATGGTATAAGATATCCATGTAACTTACTGCTTTTGCTCTTTCCCCTCTTCACCTTGGTGTCTGCCATAGTTTGTCCCTTGTTGTTCCAGGAAGGAGTGTATGCTAGAAAACTCTTGTCTCCTTCAATCAGAGTATATAGTAGCGTTTGCTCAGAATGACATACAAAAAACTAGAGCTCTTGGTTCCAAAATGATACCTTTTATTAGACCAACTGGAAAACGGCAAGAAAATTGTCCTTTTCTGCAAGCTTTTGGCATCAAAGTCCCTTTGTCAGGCTCTGGGAAAAGTATAGATGGTAAAAAGTCCCCATAGGTAGGAAATAAACTTCATTTTTGCACAGAAGGAGCTGAAGATGGAAGGCTGTCCCTCTGGGTCCATGAGAGTGTCTTTGTGAGCTGTGTTGAGTAGCTTTTTGATGTGCTGATCAGATAGAATTCCTTCCTTTTGCTCAGAATAGCATTTATGGGTGGGTTAACCCACTGAGTCAGCAGTTTTCCATTTTCTTCATTGACTTTTTTTTCCTCAAAGATGAAAAAACTAACTTGGCTGGAACATCCAGAAAGCACTTTTAAACCACAAGTTATTTTTTAAAGTAGAAAAAGACTGCATAACTATATGGAGGCTTTGTATGGCATAACTTTGCCCGCCCTTGTGTTTAACTGTTATCTCTGGCTGTGTTAATTAATTGCACAGTGTTTTTTTATTAGCTTCCTTATTGGTTCTATTAAGACTATCAGGACTTGGTCCTTTAATTGGATTTATTTTGGCAGGTTTCAGGTTCTATTCAGAATCTTGGTGACTGCATCGGGACTGGCTCGGTGCTGGTGTCCACCCTTGTAGGCTTAATTGCAGGACTGTAGCAGTCATATCTGTATAGGTATATACAGACTGTTTAAAGGATGATAACATGTTTCTGTTAACTTTTTTCTCTGACTATATGGAAGAGTGTTCATATATGAGAGATGTGATGTAGGAAGTGAGCATTTTATCGGTATGAGGTCTGTTGTAAAACAGTAGCCTTGAGAATCTTCCCTGTTGCATCACTCTGGCAAAAGCAGCTGGCCAAATGGCAGCTGTATGAATAGGGACCTGCTCAAATCAGGATTTTTGTGAAATCAAACAATTGCCGCAAAACCCATTGGGGCAGGAGGGAGCTTACTGAAAAATAAAATACTGGCTCCCCAGTAGGAACCAGCAGTTGTCCTGGTCACCCAGCACAGCATGAAGAGGGCTGCTGCCCCCACCCCTTGCTGTTGATTGGTCGAGAGGGCTGCCTGTTGTGCAGCCCCATCCTTCAACAATCAGTCATAAGAGGAGCGGGGCTGCATGACAGCTCTCTCCACCAATTGGCAGTGTGTGTGGAGTTGGGGGACAGGGACTGGGGCCTTTCCACCAATCAGAGGCATGGTAGGGGAGTGTGCCCCTACAATAAACCTGCAAAAATGGTGACTGACCCACTGATATGACCAGGAAATCAGCTGGCCACCTCTCTGAGTTAACTAGATCCCTATGCATGAAGCAGCAGAATAACAAGGAGGAGGATGTGGAAAAGTTAGAGAGGGCCCAGAGGTGGGTGACAAAAATGATAAAGGGCAAGTCAGACAAGGAGAGGCTGAAGGAAATAGTTCAGCTTGTGGAAAAGGTGCTAAAGAGGGTATATGGTAGTTGTTTTCAAATACCTGAAGGTCTGCCATAAAGAAAAGGGAAAACACCTTTTTTCTCTTGCTGTAGATATTGGACATGGACCAGTGGTGGAATGACCTATGCTGCTGAAGTCGCAGCAAATAGGCTTAGGTTGGATATCAGGAAAAATGTCTTTGCTGACAGAACAGTGAGGCTGCAGAATAGACTGCCTAGGGAAGTTGTGGACTCTCCATCACTGGAGGTGTTCAAGAGGAGGTTGGACAGGCATTGGTCAAGGATGATCTAGGGATAACTGTGCCTATATTCTGCTTTGGGTATTTCCCATGCTTTTAGGCTTTGCTTGCTGCTGAGTTTTACCCCATGGTCAGATTCATATGGCCTGTAGGGGATTTTGACTTCCTCTGTAGCGGGGATGTGGCCCTCTTCCTGGGATCTCTTCAGTGTATTTTTAACAACCTTTGCAGCAGCAGAATGTTGTTTTCTGTGGTCCCCTGCTTTACCTGTGGCAAGTTAGGATGTTGCGTCTTGTGTTGCATCAGGGTTGACTGTGTAATTTGGCTAAGAGGTTAGGCAGTGGATTTGTACCAGATGGTTTGGATAGGGATGATCCTGCCTCAAGCAGGGGGTTGGACTCAATGACCTCTCAAGGTTCCTTCTGGCCCTATTTTTCTATGTTTCTATGATTGATCAGTAGAATTTTGTGTTTTTATATAGAAAATCATCGCTGTGTAGTAGAACATTCCAAACAAGTAGCTTTCAAAGTCTTCCGTTGTTCCCAGGCTCACTGAGTGAGGTGACCCATGGGATCTGCTGTGAACACATTTGCTCTTTACTTATTGTTATAAATGATAATATTTCCAGTGTCCTAGGCTTTATTTTGTAAAAGTTATCTAAGGGCAAACTTCAAATCTGACTTCAGTGGACAAATATTTTACCAGCACTAGAGATGGTAAACAGCTTGTTAGCAATGTTAGAAACAGACAGAAACTTGAACTGCCTTCTTTGTCCTCAGATTTCTCATATGTGTAGTTTGCAGAACATAAATGGAAGTGGGGGAAAGA